AGAGTGGTATTAAGTTGTCTTTTTATACCTCTAATATGCAATTGGAAATCTGAATCACCTGATCTCCGCAACCATGATTGGTGTGACATGCTCCCTGAGGTTTCCTGGCCAGCTAAATTCTGACCTCCGGAAGCTGGCCGTGAACCTGATCCCTTTCCCTCGTCTTCATTTCTTCATGGTGGGTTTTGCACCGCTCACCTCCCGTGGGTCCCAACAATACATTTCCCTTACTGTTCCGGAACTGACTCAGCAAATGTGGGATGCCAAGAACATGATGTGTGCTGCAGACCCACGTCATGGACGCTACCTGACAGCCTCGGCCATGTTTAGGGGAAAGATGAGCACCAAAGAGGTGGACGAACAGATCATTAATGTCCAGAACAAAAATTCTTCCTACTTTGTAGAATGGATCCCTAACAATGTTAAATCCAGTGTATGTGATATTCCACCAAAGGGTCTGAAGATGTCATCAACTTTTGTGGGCAACTCCACATCAATCCAGGAGATGTTCAGGAGGGTGAGCGAGCAGTTCACAGCTATGTTCCGGCGCAAAGCCTTTTTGCATTGGTACACTGGAGAAGGGATGGATGAGATGGAATTCACAGAAGCAGAGAGCAACATGAATGACTTGGTTGCAGAGTACCAGCAGTACCAGGATGCAACTGCTGAGGATGAGGATGAGTATGAGGAGGAGAACTATGAAGAGAACTGAGGAATGTAGTGATTGGAAGAACTTGGTGGACGATTCCTTTTATCTGCTCTTATGAATTATAATGTGGATTTTCGGTGTTTCTTCATTGTTTTCAATTTGTGTTTCGTGTATTGATATTTCTGTTTTCCTTTTGAATGATGGGGAATAAAAACTTGTTAGTTTGTTTTGACCTGTACAAATGGGGTTCTTGTTTAAATTGCTTGTCGGGTTTAATTCAGTGTTTTAAATGATGCTGACTTGTTGAAAGTGCCTGCGTCGGGCATTTAAAGGAGTGTCCTGTTTCTTTTTGACTTATAAATGGGCATGCCATATTTCCATCACTATGGCTCCTACGCAGAGAAGAAGAAACAAAATTAATTAAAACGTGTTGATACAACACGTGAATTGCAGGGACGGTGGGAATGGTGAAGAGAAAAAGAGACAGATGATATGGCATTAGAAGAGTGAATTGCAGGGAAGAATGGAAAGCCATGAGAATTCAAAACCTGTATATTAGTACTCGGTATTCAGATTATGTACTTCCCTCTCCATAATACTAGTCTGATACTTGGTATTCAATGTCCTTTACAAATATTTTTCTTTCGTATTTACTCTTTTGATTAAATTAGTTAATGATTACCATAAATTAAAAAAAGATAATCATCCAAAGACAGACAACTATAGGAAAAGACAGGAAGAATAACAAATGTTGGTTAATCCATTAATAATGGCTGGACAAAAAAATATAGGTGTACGGCGAAAGGAAGCATTGGAGGAATAATAGAACTGTGTCCTTAAACTTTCTCTATATCTATTTCTTCAAATATTACTCATAACAGAGTTCAATTCTAACAACATATGAAGTATTTAATAGTTGATAATCTCAAAATTTTAAGAGAACTGAAAAACTATCAAAAACAAATACCCAAAAAAATTTAAATAAAAGATGAAAAACTTAAGGGAAGTGAAGAATTGAAGCAACTGTGTGCGAATTGGAAGAAGAACCATAAAGTAGTTAGAACAAGCTATGCAAGAGGAGGCAAGTGTCAAAGTGAAAAAAAAGAATAGAGGAGGAAAGATGATAAACCCTAATAGGAACACAAACTTAATCTTAATTTTAACAAAATGTGGAAAGCTGAAGGGGAAGTTGATTTCTCTTTTTCAAACAATAAAATTACTTTTTCTTAACAGCGTACTTCATAGAGTGCTAAAAGGCAAGACCTGCAAGTGAAATTAAATCTAAAGATGTCTACTTAAATTTTTTAATGATTCTCGTTTGATTTTCCTTCAAACCCCCCCCAAAACGGAGTCTTCCTCTTTTTGTTATTTAAAATTTATTAAGCGAAATTACAACAGTTGATGTATTCGTTGTCACCGAGAGCAAAATGTTTCAAATCTAAAATAAACCATGAAAGTTTCAGAAAATTTCAGGTAATTAAAAATTTACTTGTGATGTAGATTGTTAGGGTAAACTAGGGTTCGCTCATTTGAACACTCCTTTTTAATGAGAAAAAAAAAAAAAGATAATAAAGTTATTAAAAAATTTCTATTTGGGGATTCGAAGAAGCAGAAAATTACGTATATCTGCTTTTTCTGCAACTGTAACTACAAATTTCAGCAACAAATAGAATACAATTTTTGAATTGACAGAAAAATGAGAAGCATCAGAGTCATGGAAGTATGAGGTGCAACAGCGCTCCCTTAACAAAATAAAAAGGAGCTTCTCATAACCAAAGTATTCTCATCATCTGCATCCCTTTTATTTTCTTCCGTCTAAACTCGGTATATATATATATATATATATATGTAATATAATAATATCTGAATCTTACGAAACAAACAAAGATTATCAACAACAGAGACAGAATATAATAATATTTGACTCCGCGAATATAAAATGTATATATAAAGACAATGAGAGAGACAGAGAACTTAACCCTCGGGTTAACTGCGACGACTGTCTCTAAACCAGGGTTTGCTTCTAGTAAAACCTCATAATTACCTTGGTCTTCGGGATCTCGCAGATTACCTTGGATTTGAAATCAAGCAATAAGTGTACGTAATTTAATAGAAATCGAAGAGAAAAGAAGCTGTAATATGAAAGAACGAGAAAGCTAATGCGATTTTTCTGTGCTCTAACCTTTGATAAAAAATGAGAGAATATTTTTTAGGGTTGTCGCCAGAAGAAGAAGAAGAAGAAGATAAACATGAGAAAAAGGGATTTTGGTTGGGCTTTTATAATGGGCCCTTAAATTTTGTCTTTAAGATAATGGGCTTTTATAATGGACCCTTAAATTTTGTGTCTTAAAGCTAATGGGCCCTTAAACTTTAGGTCTTAAATATAATGGGCTTTTATAATGAGTCCTTAAATTGTAGGTCTTAAAGCTAACGGGAGAACTTTGATGTAATTTTAAAAATGAACTGGTTAGCAGCGTATCACGTCACCGTAAATTGTTTTAGTAAGAAGATTGTATTCAATCAGCCTAATGAGAAGCCATTTACAAATTAATAAAATTGTTTAAGTACTTTAATCCTGCTGTTTTCTCTAAGTAGACAAACCCAAGAAAGATATTTGTATTCAAGAGATTCCGGTAGTTCGAAATTTTTTATGTGTTTCCGGATGAACTACTCGAACTGCCAGTGGGCATAAAAATCGAATTCACCATAGATCTTCAGCTAAGCACCCAGTCCATTTCGGTTGCTCCTTACTACATGAGCCGTGTTGAGATCCAAGAACTGAGGAAACGAATCACTGAATTGTAGGACAATGAGTTTATCCGACATAGTGTGTCCCCTTAGGGTGCTGGAGTCACCTTTGTCATAAAGGAAGATGAGACATTGAGTTTATATATTGATTACAGATGTTTGAACAGAGTCATAATCAAGAACAAGTATTCCATCTCCAGGATTGATGACCTTTTCAATCAGTTGCAGGGTGCCCAAATCTTATCCAAAATAGACATGCGTTCAGGTTACCATCAGGTGAAAATCAAGACTGAAAACATTCCCAGTACAGCTTTTCGAACCAGGTACGGACATTATGAGTTATTGATCATGTCATTTGGACTAACCAATGCCCCAGCCATCTTCATGGATTTGATGAACAGGGTAATGGACCCTTAAACTTTAGGTCTTAAAGATAATGAGCTTTTATAATGAGCCCTTAAATTGTAGGTCTTAAAGCTAATGGGCTTTTATAATGGGCCCTTGAACTTTAGGTCTTAAGGATAATGGGCTTTTAAAATGGGCCCTTAAATTTTAGGTCTTAAAATTAATTTTTAAGGAATATAATGGGCTTTAAATTTGATATTTGAAGTTGGTCTCTTCTCTTTTTTAAAAAAAAAAATTATTTTTTAATTTTTCATAGCCATTGTCTTTTTTTTTTTTCTTTTACTTTAAATTTTTGAAAATTTTAACATTAAATTCATTTCATTCTAAAATTGCATAAAATTACAAAAGATAAATTTCATATTTCACAGAGTATCTCTAAAAATATTGATCCAAATTTAGTGGTATCACCATTAATCTAATTAGCCACAATATTATATACCAAAGCTGGTGCAGGTTAATTAATTAAATATTTATGTTTAAAATTTGTAAAATATTTATGTGTGTTATAATTATTGTAAAAGTGTATAATTGTTGTAACCCATTAAATTGAATTACAATAATTCGAGATTTTACTTTGAGACCCAGCTGTGTGATAAAACTCAAATTTAAATTATTAACTTTTTTATAATATTTGAATTATATTCTCTTGGTAAAACTTGATAAATTTATATATATGAAAATTTTTGGTTTTATTATAATTTTGTTCCATATTTTTTTGTCATAATTCAATTAAATAAAAAATTTAAAATTTTCATAAAATATGTAAAAATTTACCTCCTAAATATCTATATATTGATGATAACTAGTGGTAATTGGTAAAATTTCTAAATTTCATGAGTTTTAGACTTTTGAGTTTTAGTGCTTTCCTCATGAATCTTTTATGGGTTGGACTCCTCAAAATGTGAATGTAAGATTGTATTGTTGCTATGCATGAATTTTCACGTGACATTTACTCAGAGTTTTGGTAGTTTTAAATACACTCGTCTATTAGGTTATTTAAAATATTCTTCTTTAGTTAATTCTCTAAATTTGTCAATTTTAACATTAAGTCTCGTCATAAAAGTACTAATGTTGAGTTAGAAATGACCACATTTTAAAAAATGTTATAATCGTCTTAATTATTTATGATTTTATATTCTTACAAGATTTTTTCTATCTTTGGTGATCCACATCCTTTTCCTTGCATGCCACTCCTTTAGCTCTTGTATCGTATTCCATCGTATCATATGACTAGGTCCGTTTTATTGGCCCCTACCTCACCCGAATGAACATATTTAATTTTTTCTCCATCTCCCATGTTTTCTTTTACTCCACATATGTCTTATAAAACCACAATAAAAGTGAAATATGGATAGTCTCTTATATTTAAAATGGATCTAATGCACCATATTGTTTATTGTAATTAACATTCCCCTAACAAGTGGTTTATGTACATCCATCAATACTCTCATGCATAGGAAGGAAGAATGACTCCTTACTGAATCAATATCAATGAAGATTACATGTTTTACTTTTTGTCTGAAACATCTTGTCATTTTTTTCAATCATAAAATTTTGTAGTTGATCATAAATTCAAACCCTTTTTTTTTATTATTTGACAACTTTAAATTTTATGTGAGTGTTCATCACCTTAGATCTTTTAGAAATAACACATTTTTTTCAAAATATCATAGAATCTCTTTTTGCACTCACACTAGGTCTTCATTCACTGTAGAAAGTGAAGAGAAATAGTTGTTAGTGTCTATAGTTCTCCTTCGTCTTATCACGCTCCATAATCAATACATCATATCTATTTGTATTTGCATTAAAGTTTTTTTCTTAATGCAGAGACGTCTTATAAAATACCATACTGTTTTTGACTCTTTCCCACTACTTGCTATACCAAGAATTTTTGCTCTTATTCCACATAACTCGTTAGATTTTGGTGCCTAAAGTTAACATTGTGCACCTTACTTATAATGTCAAATCCACAAATCTAAAAT